CTCCATCCACACTTAGTTCTCCAGACCCACAGTGAATCACAATGTCCAGCTTCTTCAGTATGTCCATGCCCAGAAGCAACGGGTCAGCCAGGTTCCTAGCAACATGAAACGTGTGCTCGACACTAGCTTTCCCAACAACAATCGGGGCGTCCACTAGACCACATACTTGTACAGTAGTCCCATTGGCAGCAACACACTGGATATCATCCTTTTGGTGCATGTCAAGGCCTAGCTCCTGAACCTCTTCTTCACTCAGAAGACTCACAGCGCTACCCGTATCCAGAACACCCACACTGGACATTCCTCCAATCGTGACTCTTACTTTAACCTCAGACTCCCTGTTGGTGCTCAGCTTCCTTACCTCTCTGCGACTGGGGCACTCCCTTTGGAAGTGGCCTACCCCTCCACAGGTGAAGCAGCGAAGACCACCAACAGCTGGCTGGCGATCACCGGTTCCAGTCATCCTGGTCTGCGGTGCAGAAGCCGGTGCAGTGGCACCAGGACCTGCAGACGTCGCTGCTGGAGGAGCTGGTGCACTGGGAACCCTGGGTCCCCGGAAACACTGAGCTCGGAGGTGGCCCTGGCGGCCACAGTTGAAGCAGCGCTTTGTCCTCTGTACCAGCCTCACCTGGCTGGCATCATCATGCTTCTTCGTCATATCATGATGCAACTGCTCCACAGTCTTCATGCGTTCCAGCCGCCTGACCAACCCTTCCACATCGCTTGCATCACAATCCAACAATTTTAGCTGCCACCTTGACGGTACCACTCGGGGTAAGTGTTCCATCAACAGCTCTTCCTGACCTTCTTGATTCAGGTCTGGCATCCCTGCCTTCAGCGACTCACGAAGCCGTTGAACAAACTCACGAGGTTCATCCTTCTCACTCAGCCTGGCTTCATAAAACTGATGCAGCCTCACCTTTCGCTTTTCTTTAGGGCACAGCAGCCTCACAGCCAGCTGCTCGGCCTGTTCGACGGAGGTAGGTGCTGCAGACTCCAGTTCCTCTGCCACCCATTCTGCCTCCCCCGTGAACAGCGCCGGTAAGACCGACAGCTGTCTGGCCTCAGACCAGCCGTTAGCCCTTGCCACTCGTTTGAATATACGAAAATATCTCTGAATGTCCTCGGTATTCTTGCAGAACACCGGTGGCCTCCATTCCGCATTCCCACTAGCTCCCGGTTCCATCTTGATTTTCTCTGATAGCGTTGCGCCGCTTTCGCCGCCATTCAGGGACATCACCCGATTTTCAGTCCTTCAGGGCGTCGTATCAGTATCCCACCGCTGATGTAAGAGCTCGCTTACTCTTCCGTAGCGACGCGTAAATAAAAACACTCGTTATCTTGGTATTTTCCGTCGTATTCACACGATCTCCGGCCCAGGGCCTCCTCTAACATACCCACTGGGTGGGCAAATGCCCACCCAGTCGCCACAATTGCCCACCCAGTGGCGTCGATTTGCCCACCCAGAAGCAAATGCAAAAATAAAGGTCCGGCCGGACGTCCGGTACTACCTTTCCGGTCTTAAGCAAACTGGATGCTGTTTGAAGGTCAAAAAAAGTTTTCTGGTTGCTCGATATTCAGGAGCGTAGCCAGGATTTCCTCAAGGAGGGGGCTAAACGCACAAGGGCGCAAGATAACCCCCTCAAAATCCAAAAAGCCATCGGGTTGCATCCAATATTTTTTTTTGGATGGGGCCCAAATAAATGGAAAAAATATTCATCAACAAACAATGTTAGAACTGAGGGGGTAAGCAGTATATGGGCCCCTGTTAGACAGGCCCACGAATAGCTTCATAGAGTCGCCAGCCGGTTCTGATGGCGGTCTGAGGACCCGTAGGTCGGATGAGGGTTCTTCAGACCGTCACAGGCCCCTATAGCCCATGAGAGCCTCGTAAGCCGTCTGAGGGTCATATAAGCCGTCTAGGGCCACTCAGACCGACAAAAGGCCCCTTGCACTTGCAGAGGCCCAGTCAGGCCGACGTAGGGCCCTCTCAGACAAACTAAGGGCCCGTTCAGGTCATTTGAGGGCCTCCTCAAACCGATAAGGGTCCCTCAGATCGACAGTGGATCCGATCCGAGCTCCCTCAAACCGATATAGGGTCAGACCAACAGTCGGAACGCATTGATTCTGTTTACACACCGTTGGACCCAAGTTGGACCCATCCCATCCAACTGGCCCCCTGGTTTCAATAGGGCCCCAAGGCTCTAAAATTGGGTCTCTCTTGGCCAAAGAATAACTACTCAGCTGTGTCAAAGGATCTGCCGCAGGGCCTTTGCGTCGCCAAGGGCCCACTGTGTCAGTCAGGGGCCTCTATGGAATAAGGACCCCTGGCTTCCAGGAGGGGCCATGGTCCATTTGGCCCCCTCCTTGGCTATGCCGCTGCAGGTGACAAACGTTCTTTCAGACGACCAGGGGGCAGGGGCCCAGGCGACCAGAACCCCAGGTGACCAGGGGCCCCCAGGCGACTAGCTCCCCCCAAGCGACCAGGGGCCCCCTGGGCGACCAGAGGCCCCAGGAAACCGGGGGTCCTCGGATGAGTGCAGGGGCCCATTGGGTAATCAGGGGCACCTCGGGTAACCAGGGCCACAGAAATGAAACTTGAATTGATATAAATTTGCTTCCGAGTAAAATACGTTTTATCCAGTGTTAGAAAAAAATATCCCGGGGCCTGTGGGGCCCCCATGGCGCCTTCTGCGCTCAAGGGAGGGGGCCATTGCCCCCGTGGCCCCTCCCCTTGGCCACGCCCCTGCCGATATTGGAGTTATCAAGTAATTGTCTCGTAAGTGAAAAGGCACGTACAATAAAGGTACAACCCTCTGCAAGCTGCGTGGTAGGTATCTTTTTTCGACAAAACCGAGAATAACGCGAATACGCTAACGGTCATTCGGAAATCGTAACAGCAAGACGCGCGAGACTCCGCACCTTAGATTGGGCTTATTTTGGTATACATTTTCCATCTAGTTTGACAACAACACACAAAAGTTTATATTTCCCCCCAAAACAAACTTTCGCTTTTTTGCTACGGTAAGAGTACACATTGTTCAGTGACTGAATTAATCGAAGGGGTGGAGCATGGCGCATCTATATGCAATGTGTTCCGACCGACTGATTATCATAACCTTTGAGATATTAGGTATCGGTTTTGTCGAAATAAGAATACCTACCACGCAGTTTTTGCGGAGGGCTGCAAGTACAGCCCTCTGCAGACTGCGTGGTAGGTATCCTTTTTTCGACAAAACCGAGAATAACGCGAATACTATGCTATCGGGCACTCGGAAATCGTAACAGAAAGATGCGCGAGACTCCGCAGCTTAGATTGGCATTATCATCGTATGCATTTTCCATCCAGTTTGGCAACAAAACCCAAAAGTTTATATTTGCCCCCAAAACGAATTTAAACATTTTGTTGCCACACAAGGCGTAGGTATGCTTTGTTTATTGATAGGCCCTATCGAAGGAGTGGAGCATGGCGCATCTATTTGCATTGAGCTTCGACCGACTGATAACATGACTTTTGAATTATAATCAGTTTTGTCGGAAAAAGAATACCTACCACGCAGTCTGCTGAGGGCTGTACATGTAATCTGGAACGAATCGCTCGAGCATCGCTAACCATAAAACATACGACAAACGTTAACTATCATTTTATTTCCAATAATGGCACAGCTTATTTCGTCTCATCCCCGCACCCCCCCCCCCCCCCCGGTAACAGGTTTTGAAATTGGTTGAACCCCAAAACAAGTGGCTGGATCCGCCCTTGGGCGGGGAAGTGGCGAAAATTTTGCCCACCCAGTGAAAAATCCTTAGAGGAGGCCCTGCTCCGGCCGGCCACACAACAAAACCCAATATCCTCAGCAACGCCACGGGGAACGCCCAAAACGCCGACCTTCTCGATCATTCCTCGCCAGCGTGTACACAAATCAGGGTTAGCTCTTTGACTCGGCTCAAATCACACCTCTTTTACCCGGTACCCGTCACGGCCCACGAGCGCTTTCTTCTTCTAATAGGCGGGCCCCTTACACTATGCTTAACACCTAATGTAAGAAGCGACATAAATGCCTAGATGATAAAGCCCTCTGGTCAACATCACACAAATTTATTGACATACTTTGCAGGTACATATTTACATTCATGGCAAATACTTTCGATTTGATTCAGAAACTAGTTGCTAGTAAGCTTGCATTTTTGTAGGTACAACAACGACCATATATTAAATCATAAAAAACCTTCTCATGGCATTCATCACATAGGTACCTTTTTACCGAACAAGTACCTAGCTACCATGGAATGATTCTACAATTTGTCCGCAATCCATCTATATCTCAACTGACACAATGAATTTCAAATACCCTAACAAAGCCTATAACTGTACATAAGAAGAATGCAATACTACAAGAACTATGAATTTCTTAAGTTATTCTCACATGCTGGAATGTTGAAACTCTACTTTTGTCGTCCATTTCCATGTTTGATTGAGCCATCATATAGAACTGTTTTCGTTCTTCAGTCACAAGCTTTCGCACAAATCTTGAATCTTTACACATCATCTTGAACCATGCTCCAGTCTTTCCAACAAGGTACTAGGTATGTAACATCAAAGCAATTTTGATTTGTTACAACAGCTTCAGATCATGATAGGCTTGAGGTTTGTTACACCATTTGCCAGACAAATCTCTACAAAATGTGTATCAATTCCCAAACTAACCCCGCGTTCGATGTCTCACGGACGACGAAGATTCTACGCCGTCCGGCCAATCCCGTTCAAGGTCAGCGGGGGCTCGGCTGCGGTTATGGAACGTGATTGGCTGGACGGCATAGAACCTTCGTCGTCCGCGAGACATCGAACGCGGGGTAAGTAACTGATCATATCAGTATTTGCAGTTTCCACACAATGTTTAATAATACTATTCTATGTTTGTATAAAGAAACTCAAATAAGCCACAAATTGTTATTGAAACACTCCCACTTCAAGAGTTCACAGCAATAACTTGAACTGTACAAGTTCAGAAGCAAACAAACATTGCGCCAGATTTCGTATGAAACCGTGTATGCTGGGGGACTTGTGGGTGACCTGTGTGTGGACTGGATTTTTTGTTTGTCTGTGATCCGTGTTATGCGCAGTCTAGTTATTTGTGTGCAAGCTCAGGGACTGTGCACAATATATCTTACTTCCACTCAGTCGCATGGTTTTGCACCGCAAGTGGCTGAGCGAGCCAGGGTATATAGAACAACAGCAACTTGAACTATTTGTATATACCCTGGCTCGCTCATGGCCAATGACCCTGAGCCAGTCAGAAATATGTGCAGTTGCTAGAAACTCACAAATTGCACTACTTCAAGAGCCCAAAAACAATGCATGCATGTTTATCGGTATTGTAGTATCTATGACCGTGATCAGTATGTAACTTATTCTGCATAGTATGCTGATGCGTGATGCCTATGTACTTTCTGAATTATGTGATAAAACGTCAAATTAATGTTGATATGTAATGGCAGAATGCTCCCTTATTGTTCCCGCCCCAGCGGCTAACCGCATCAAGATATACGGATTTGTTTTTGACTGGCATTTGTCTTTCAGGTGTCGCATATGTGTGCCTTGCCTCTGATAGCTGACTACTGTGCTTGGTAGCCACATTGACTGCACGCACGACCACTCACAATCCCGGACGAAGTGAGTCTCACTTATATCTCTTCGATAGGCACTACTGGCACTGGCTAGACAGCGCGATACTGTGTGATTGGATTATTTAATCAGCCAGTCTGGTATATTTAAACGAGCGGTGCTTAGAGTTTGAGTTCAGTTTCTTAGTAACCAACATGATCTGTTCGCTCGTTCATGTGCTACCCCCTACTGCGGCGATTGGTTATGTGCCGGATGTATTACACCTTTCGTCCGTTGTCCCCACAGTTATAACGGTCATCACGGTCTGCGACTACTGTGGGCCCACCGACTACAAGCCCTGATCACAATAAATCTTGTAGAACTCTGCCCTGGTAGTTTTTTCCTGTTGGCCGGATCAGTTATAATTCTTCCACCTGTTGTGAGGTGGTGGTGTTGCCCATCAGTAGAGTGGTGACACAGTAGATTGATGTTCACGGCCAGTAGAGATGATCCTCACATTTGATCCTAACCTGAGGGCTGTCTAGCCTGACATCGTGTCACTCATTCTTCATTATCTGGAGACCTATTTGTAGTTGGAAAGGCAGTTGTCTACTAACGATTCAGGTGCAGTGGAGTGTAGACCTCAGCTAACTCCCAGTCCCCCTGAACTATACGATTATGGACGGGGAAGAGAACCAGGAACAGACATCTGCAAGTAGACGACAGGTGCGCCTAACTGAGGCAGGAAGAGAACACCAGAAGGAGATGAAGACGAAGGTGTTCAAGAGGCAGCTCAAGGAGCTGAAAAGGCACACTGAGAAGATGGTGGAGGACGATGGCACTATCGCCCCAGACTTGGGAAAACCAGAACTGAAGGAGTGGACCCATTGCTATGTGAATCTTCTTCAGACTCTGTCAGACCTGAGAATCCTGCTGCCATCAGACGAGGTCGCCCTCCTTCAGAGAGACATTGAACAGTTTCAAGCACTCAACTTGCAGATGCAAGAAGCCCTGGAGAAACTGAGGAGCACAGAAGCCCGAGCTCCGTCGGTGACCGGTCGCAGTGGGAACTCTCGGACATCGACATCGGTTGCTTCTGTTCGAGCCTCCTTGAAGATCCTGCAAATGCAAGACGAACATCAGAAAGCAGCCCTGCGAGCGAGACAAGCGGCTATGCTGAGAAGACGAGAAATCGAACAAGAGAAACAGGCCATCAAGTGGAAAGAGGAGGATCTTGAACTGGAAGTGGAGCTCAGCACTGTGGAAGAGCAGAGTAAGGCACTGCACAAATTTGAGATGGAGTTGGAAGACGGAAAGACCTACAGACTACCTGCGGAGAATGACGTGACAGCTCCAGCGGAGTCAATCCAAGTAGGACCTGTTCGAAGTGCAGGTGCTCCCGTGACAACCAGCGAAGTTCGCGGCGATATATCTTCCTCTCAGCGCGCCAGCGTTTCGCTCAGCGTGGCAGATGCCGGAGCAGCGCCTCTGTCATCTGCGCAGGGCGGCAGCGCTCACATTAGCGTAGCTGACGGGCCTGAATCGACTACACTTCATCATGGGCTGAACCCTGGCGCACGTATCTTCAGGCCCAGCGCGATGATAGAGCCAGAGGAGCAGCTAAATGTAGAACGTAGCTCCGGGACGCTAGCTGCGGGACCCACTAACTTATCAGATCTGTTCGCAGAGCAGCGAAGAGGCCAGCTTCCAGCGCTGGAACCAGAGGTCTTCCAGGGAAGCGTCGAGAGGTTTCATCCCTGGGTGAAGGCCTTCGAGAGCTTCATCGAGAGCAGAACGTCATCGGCGACAGAACGACTGCACTACCTCTCCAGGTACACCGGAGGAGAAGCGAGAACAGTGATTGAAGGATTTCTTCTCCTTAGGTCAGCAGACGCGTACAATCAAGCGAAGAAGAAGCTGTACGACCGCTACGGAAATGACTTCATCGTCTCACGCACGTACCGCAAGAAGCTGAAGGAGTGGCCACCGGTGCGCGCTGGTGATGGGAGCGGTCTAAGACGATTGGCGGACTACCTGGATAGCTGCCTCGCGGTCTCACATCACGTATCGGGTCTCGAATCTCTTAACGACTGCAACCAGAACAACGAGATCCTGCGGAAACTGCCTAAACACATCGTGGACAAGTGGAGGCGTGTCGTCGACAAGAGACTGTTCGAGCCTGACGCGGGGACTCAACCGGGCTACCCGCCGTTCGAAGAGTTTGTGAGTTTCCTGAACAGGGAGGCTAGGATCGCCTGTGGACCGGTCGACGGCACACCAGATGTATTTTCGACTTCGGGTCGAGACACACCAGCCAGAGGTCGTGTCAGCCGCAAGGAAAGCGCTCACACCTTCATTTCTTTGGCAGCATCAGATGAACCGGCTGACGCCCCGAAGCACCGAACTCCACCGTCAGCGAAGCCACGGCCTCCTTGGCCATGCAAGATCTGTGGACAGCAGCACTCTATCGAGACATGCAAGGACTTCAAGGCCATGACATCAGAAGAGAGGCACGAGGCGGTCAAGCGACATGGACTCTGTAGAGGCTGTCTCCGCCACGGTCACATTTGGAAGGAATGCCGAAGCAGGAGAAGATGTGAGAAGTGTGGTTACTCTCACCCAACGCTGTTGCACAGCGACTCAAGAGAGAAGAACACGGCGTCGACTCCGGTGAAGAGGCCAGCAGGCTCAAGCGACGGCACTCCGGAAACTCGTGCAACCACATTCAAGGTGGCGGTTGAGGGCGATTGTCAGAAATCAGCCTGTCTTCACACCATGATTGTTCCCGTCATTCTTCGAAGCGAGGACGACCCTAATCGACAGGCAATCGTCTACGCAGTTCTTGACCCGCAGTCAGATGCGTGTTTCATGACCGAAACAACGCTGCAGAAAGTTGGAGGCAGAGGAGAGAAGATTGCGCTTCAACTCAGCACCATGGCTGGAAAGGCAACGGTGGACAGCCTCAGAGTGACGGGACTTTCGGTCCAAGGGCTCACGACCACCGACCGCATCAACCTTCCAGCCACCTACACACGGGTCGAGATACCAGCGGAGAGACACCTCATCCCTCGAACAACCACGCTGCAAAAGTGGAAGCATCTCGAGCATCTGATGGAAGATCTTCCTCCTCACCTACCGGACGCAGACATCGGACTACTTATCGGTATGAACTGCCCCCGCGCAGTGAAGCCGAGAGAGATTGTTCCAGGAAGCGGCGAAGACCCATGGGCAATCAGAACAGAACTGGGATGGAGCGTTGTGGGATTCGTTGAGGGATCCACATCTGCTCCAACATGCCACTGCGTACAGGCGGCAGAGTCGAAGACGTGTCACTTCGTACTCAAAACTCAGGCACGAGAAGTAAGTCCACTGGAAGTCGCACGCATGTTCGAGGCCGACTTTCGTGACGAACACACGGAGAAGAAGGTATCACAAGAAGACCGACGATTCTTGAGGATAATGGAGGAGAACTTCCATCAGAGAGCCGACAAACACTTCGAAGGACCACTTCCTCTGAAGGACCAGAATGTGAAGTTCCCAGACAACAAGAAGCTGGCATTGAAGCGGCTTTTCTGCCTGAAAAGAAGACTCGCTAACGACAAGAAGTTCAGCGATGACTACAACAAGTTCATGGCCGACTCGTTCAACAAGGGATATGCGGAGCGGGTGCCAGAAGACGAACTGGGAAACGACGATGGAAGGGTCTGGTTCGTCCCTCACCACGGTGTCTACCACGCAAAGAAAGGGAAAATCAGAGTCGTCTACGACTGCAGCGCTGAATACCAAGGATTCTCGCTGAATAACAGCCTTCTCCAAGGACCAGACTTCATCAACAATCTGCTGGGCGTAATCATCCGCTTCAGAAAAGATGAAGTGGCGATCAGCTGCGACATCCAGGAGATGTTTAATCAGGTGCTCGTGACTGAGCAGCACAGGGATCTGCTCAGATTCCTGTGGTGGGAAAACGGCGACTTATCCGGAGAGCCCGTCCAGTATCGGATGAAGACTCATCTCTTCGGCGCGGTCTCCTCCCCCGCATGCGCGATGTACGCCCTGAACGCTACGGCAGACACGTACGAGCAGAAGTACGGGAAAGAAGCGGCAGATTTTGTCAGACACAACTTCTACGTGGACGATGGGCTCATCAGCGTTCCGGATGCCGACACTGCTGCGCGTCTAGCCATGGACACGATCCACCTGTGCGCAGATGGAGGATTCAAACTCAACAAGTTTGTTTCCAACGACCCCTCTGTCGTCGCTAGCCTTCCCCCTGACAGTGTCTCTAAGGGAATGACATCAGTAGACGTCAGTCTGCACCACCCTACTTACGAGCAAGCACTCGGACTGAAGTGGAACACCGAAACAGACACACTGCACATCAACGTGGACCTTGCAGACAAGCCCATTACAAGACGGGGCATTCTGTCGACGGTGAGTTCACTGTACGATCCAGTCGGTCTGATATCTCCGGTAATCCTGAAAGGCAAGCAGTTCGTGAAGCTCCTCTGCTGTGACGGCTATGACTGGGACGAACCTGTGGCAGAAGACGTCGCCGTGCGCTGGCTGCAGTGGAGGGAAAGTATATGCTTGCTTTCCGACATCTCTGTCCCCAGACGCTACGTCTCCAACAAGGGCAAGATCAAGATTTACGAGTTGCATCACTTCTCCGATGCAAGTACATCTGGCTACGGTCAGGTTACCTACCTGCGAACCATCGATGAGCTTGGACACATCTGTTCGGGTCTCGTGATCAGCAAGGCGAAGGTGACGCCCAAGCGGGCAGTCACGATCCCGCGGCTCGAGCTGACCGCGGCGGTCCTCTCCGTGAAGGTCGCGAGCTTCTTGGACAAGAAGCTCAACATCCGGAACCTGCGCCACTTCTTCTGGACCGACAGCATGGTCGTGCTCGGTTATATCGGCAATGAAAGCAGAAGGTTTCAAGTTTTCGTTGCTAACCGAGTTCAACAGATACGGGAACACACTGTCCCGGACCAATGGAGATTCGTGAAATCTGAGGACAATCCAGCAGATCTGGCCTCCCGTGGCCTCGATGCAAGTGAGCTCAAGAACTGTGACCTCTGGTGGCACGGACCCAAGTTCTTGATGGATTCGGCAGAGCTCTCAGCAGAACCACGGTTCGTCGAGGTACAAGAAGACGATCCAGAGGTGAAGAAAACAAGAGTGTTGGTCACCAGCAGCCGACAAGACGACGCCAAGTTTGATCTGTCAAGCCGACTTGTTCCCTTTTCAAGCTGGTTCCGCGCCAAGAAGGCAGTAGCGATCTGCCTACGATACAGACGACGACTCCTGAACCGAATCAGGCAAAAGCGGACCTGCAGCACAACCACTGAAGGTATGGAGGAGAGCAAATCGCTGACAGACATGCCCATTGACACAGATGAGCTGAACGACGCAGAAGTGACCATTCTGAAGAACGTTCAGGAAGATGAATTCGAAGAGGAGTTGGTGAACCTGGCAACTCAAGAGGATCCGACGACAGATCGGAAACAAGTCAAGAAGCGGAGCAGCGTGCGCCGTCTGGACCCGTTTCTTGCCAGAGATGGACTCTTGCGAGTAGGCGGACGGCTGAGGAGAAGCGATCTGCCCCTGGAGACGGCACACCCTGTGATACTGCCAAAGGATCACCACGTCAGCCGCCTCATCATCGCGCACTTCCATGAAAAGACCAAGCACTCAGGCCGAACGATGACGCTGAGCGAGATTCGGCTGTCCGGATTTTGGATTCTTCACGGAAGAACGGCGGTATCTCGGTACATACAGAAGTGCGTCAAATGCATCAAGCTCAGAGGAACACCGTGCGGCCAGAAGATGGCAGACCTGCCGGAGGAGAGAGTGGGACAGATGGAACCGTTCACCTATTCCGGATGTGACTGTTTCGGACCCTTCATCATCAAAGAGCGTCGCAGCGAGCTGAAGAGATGGGGCATCGTGTTTACGTGCATGAGCTCGAGAGCCGTTCACCTCGAGACTCTGAACTCGCTGACTGCAGACGCTTTCATCAACGCCTACCGACGTTTTGTTAGTCGGAGGGGACCAGTCAGAAAGCTCTTCTGCGACAACGCCACGAATTTCATCGGTGGCGAGGGATATCTCATGGCAGCACTCAACGAGATGGACCGAGATCAGGTCAGGAGGACCATCCTGAAGGACAACTGCGACCTCGTGGAATTCGACCACATCACCCCACGGGCTAGTCACATGGGCGGCGCCTGGGAGCGCCAGATACGGTCTGTTCGCGCCGCTCTCAACAGCCTGTTCCAAGATGTGGGACTCCAGATCGACGACGAACTTCTTCGAACGGTCATGACAGAAGCCGAAGCCGTAGTTAACAGCCGCCCCCTGTCCTATGCATGCATGACTGACTCAGATGTAGTAGAGCCTATCACCCCTAGTCAACTACTCACCTTGAAACAGAAGGTAGTTCTCCCTCTGCCGGGGAACTTCGACCGCCCGGACCTGTACGTCAGACAACGCTGGAGGAGGGTCCAGTATCTCTCCAACCAGTTCTGGCTCCGCTGGAGGCGGGAGTTTCTGCCAACTCTCCAAGAGCGTCGCAAGTGGAACCGGACGGAGCTGAATCTCGAGCCAGGCGACGTCGTGATCATCGTCGACGCTGACGCCCCGCGATGCAGCTGGCCTCTGGGCCGCGTGGTTTCCACGTACCCGAGCAGTGATGGACTGGTACGAAGTGTCCGAGTGCGTATCGGCCGTGCTGAATATGACAGACCGATACACAAAGTCATCCGCATGCTGAAGTCGTAGGGTGATTCCCAGTCGAGGAGCCTTGTTTATTTTCCTTGCGTTCGTGTGCGCTGCGCAAGTTCCGGTGACAAAGTGTCATCGACACTATTGTGATAATGTGTCACAGTGACGCCGTGATCGATTTGTGACAGCGTGTTGTTGCTGCGAAATGTGAATCACGCGTGCCATTGTATAACAGACTGCGTTTTGTATATAGCAGACAACGTCTCTGCTATTCACGTTCTGTGTGGAAAAGTGATGGAAAATTAGGTATAAGTACCGTAATTTTGGGGAGCCATGTTCCCGCCCCAGCGGCTAACCGCATCAAGATATACGGATTTGTTTTTGACTGGCATTTGTCTTTCAGGTGTCGCATATGTGTGCCTTGCCTCTGATAGCTGACTACTGTGCTTGGTAGCCACATTGACTGCACGCACGACCACTCACAATCCCGGACGAAGTGAGTCTCACTTATATCTCTTCGATAGGCACTACTGGCACTGGCTAGACAGCGCGATACTGTGTGATTGGATTATTTAATCAGCCAGTCTGGTATATTTAAAGGAGCGGTGCTTAGAGTTTGAGTTCAGTTTCTTAGTAACCAACATGATCTGTTCGCTCGTTCATGTGCTACCCCCTACTGCGGCGATTGGTTATGTGCCGGATGTATTACACCTTTCGTCCGTTGTCCCCACAGTTATAACGGTCATCACGGTCTGCGACTACTGTGGGCCCACCGACTACAAGCCCTGATCACAATAAATCTTGTAGAACTCTGCCCTGGTAGTTTTTTCCTGTTGGCCGGATCACTTATGTTGAGTTAATTCAAATGAATGATATTACTGCATCACAAATTTCACATGAACAGGCAATTCTGAAATCTCTGACTATGTCCTAGTTTTGCTATTTTCACAGCTTTCGGCAGGAGACATTTCTTTACATCTTCTGCTTTTGCTACATCTCAGTGGACTCTTTACTTGGCTTACAGATCTCATCTTGAAGTGAATATTAATGAAAAGGGGAGCAGAAATACCTGCCATAAAAAGGAAATAGAGTAGACAATTGACTGCATACAAGATGTCATTGGCTAGCCTTGCTGCCTATGCCAGCAGTGATGAAAGTGAGTCTGAACCAGAAGAGGCTGGCAATGTGAACAGCAATCAGTTGAGTCAGCCAGCTCCTGGTCCCACTCCATCTTCAAGCTCTTCACAAGGTCAACTGAAGTCTGGTGTAGATCTGATTGAAGATGAGGAGGATGACCTAGTGGCCCATGCAACAGTGACATCTTCACTGCCACAGGCTGAAGGCAGAGAAGACAGTGTGTCTGGAAGTCTATTCCAGGCAGATGATGTTGTGGATGATGTTCCATTGGCTAGCAAAATACAGGCTGAAAAACCTCCAAAGAAGAACCAACCTGTGAAAATATCCATACCATCATTATCACAGGTTAGGTTTTGCTCAATGTCAATATGTTATCTTGACATAAATATGTGCTAATGTAATATAATCACAGTTAGATATATACCAGAACACAGCTGGATTTAGAAGTAGTGATGATTTTTTTCTTGAACTCTTGTATTTCATGAGCCTTTATCACTATGTTTTGGACCTTATAGTTGTACTCATTGTCATTGCTATTTTACATTGTGCTTGCATAAATTTCAGCATGAATTAGGAGTATAGTTGTCAGGACTTGTTCTATGAGTGTTTTATTGAATGCACAAGAGCCATGCCTCATTTTATTTTCAGTTTAAGGATGAGGAGGAGGAGGAGCCTGCTGCCAAGAAAATGAAGCCATCGCAGGTGAGGTTGGGCATATAGCATTAACCTGATGGCGGTAGGTTTTTGCCATCACATGCATCTTTGATATGCTCCATTTGAATAAGATTGTATATGTTATTGATTTATGATGCTTAACTAATGGATTTATGCTACTAATAATTGATTTATGCCAAAGATAAGAGTTGATCTCAGCATTAGTACAAATATCAGCCACATGTCTGCTAACTGCTTCATGGTTTTCTCCTCAGAAAGGGTCTGGGCTGTTCTCACTGCTGCCGCCACCCAAGGCAGCCACCACCAAGGAGTTGGGCCGCGCGCTGGTGCCCCACTCGGTGTCCCGACCGGCGGCGCCGCGGCGCGCGGCACCCGCGCCCCCGCGCGTGCCGCCGCCGGCGCCGGCCGCCGCCGACTCGGATGACGAGGAGGGCGGTGGCGGCGACTTCTTCTCCCTGTCGGAGGAGGGCCCGTCGCTGCCGGCGCTGCCAGTCGGACCGGCCGCCGGACCGCTCACATTCAGCGAGCGCGAGCAGGAGGCGGCGGCGGCGGCGCGGCGCCGGTCGCCCAGTCCGGAGCCGATGGAGGGGGCGCCCCCGCCGACCGCCGCCGGGTCACAGTGGCCCCAGTCGGCTGCCGCCCAGTTGGATATGCCCGCAGAGGCGGTAAGTGTGCAGAGAGTTTGTCAGAACGTTTCAGCAGCAGGTGTACTGAGAAAACAATGACGTATGTTGCTTTGCAACATCATTCACGCGATGATGCCCAGACATCGATAAAATCATCCATTGCTTGAGATTGTTTAGCAGTCACTTCATCATTTTGATGCAAATTGGGTCTTGCACCCTGAATACGTTATTTTTACGCCTGCGAAACGACAGTCAAGTGGAAAGCTAATTTAAGCATAAGTCAGAGTTTTGTTACCTATTGGGGTTTCACACCGAATCTGAGGCCAGCGTGTGTATCCAACCATCCCTCGTTTCACCGCCCTATGCTGACAGTCCCTCGCCTTACGTGCCGTTCGCAGCTGCAGCACCTGCGCGGGCGACGCGGCCGGCGTGAGGCTCCTGAGGACATCCAGTTCATTGACGTCAACCAGGACGACATCCTGCCGGACCGTGACGAGTGGATGACGAAGCAGCTGACGGAGGAGAAGGTGGTCCGTCGGCCGCAGAAGTCGGCGGACGATCCGACGTCGCAGCAGCGGCGCAAGCATCAGATCACCTACCTGGCACATCAGGTGAGACAACCGACCGCTGGGCGAATAGGTGGCGCGGTCCGGTAGGGTCAGGGACGGATAGACAGTGGAGTCGGGGCGTTGTGTGTGCATACAGCTAGTACAGCATGGATGCACCGTGTGCGGTGGAACGCCCGACTGTGGCCACGAATAGATGGCGTGGTCTGGGGGGGGGGGGTTAATGACGGACAGATAATACAGTCAGGGGCACAGGCGGAACAGACCGCTGCCACACAGGTGACGGGCTGTTGTGCTCATCAAGACCAGGCTGGGGAGAGTGCTAGTTTGGGCTGGTGATTTGGAATTGAATCGGGATGCGGAGGCTCAGGTTCAAGTCATTGCTGGATAGTTTGTTATGTTCGGCGTTATCTTAGTAAAGTGGCAACAGTTGACGATAATATCACCACTGTCAGATAAGACTTACCCCGTCAGTTTGATCGCTCCCGCAGACCCTCGGTACCACCAGCCTGTCGTTTCCAGAGCTGTCGTCACAATCTGTCCGGTCATCGTCTTTCCACCCTGCCATGTTGTAGGCCCTCGGTTTCGGTATCCGCTTTGAGAGCGGACACCGAAACGAACGAGGCTGACAAAGTGTGTCGGTCTGTTCGGTGTCTCGCTCCTACTTACCGTTCGAGCCTCTCGGTTCCACTGTCGGTCCTCTGTTCGTCTGTGTCTGGTGGCTCACTTCCTCTATCCCTGCTCTTCCTGCCCTCGGTTCTAATGCCTGCCCTTATATGTGGGCCTCACTGCCCCGGTCCGTCCCCCGCCGTAGTCTCGCTGTCCCTGTCCGTAGTCTCACTGTCCCTGTCCGTAGTCTCACTGTCCCGGTCCGTTCTCTGCCGTAGTCTCATCTCACTCGTCCCCTCCCCTTCCCGTAATCTTGCTGTCCTCGTCCGTCCCCTGCTAATAGTCTGTCTGACTCCCTGTCTGTCCCCTCACCCTGTCTGTATTCTTTCCTCCCCCCACACACTCGTCCCCACTGTCCGTAGTCTTACTGTCCCCGTCTGTCCGCTTATCGTCTGACCCCTCCCTTCCCCTACCCACAGGCCAAGGAACGCGAGGTGGAACTGAAGAACGAATGGGCGCAGAACCGGGCCACAAAGAACGCCTATAGGACAAAGTACGGCTTCTAGCGCCGCCTGGTGAGTGCCGCCCTACGTCCGCGAACTGTGTGTGTGGGTCATTGTTGTCGCCTGTTATACATCATCATGTCAATGTCATAAATACAGACTATTGTGAATTATTGATTTGGTGTGTTTGGCGGAAGATGCATTACATTATGCACTGTGCAGTGTGCACTGTCTAGCGGGGTGCCGGAGTCTTCAGTCGTTAGTGGGAGTTGGAGTCAAATTGGGTCAAGCGGTAGATACTGCCATATTTATTGAGTTGCATTGGGCCTATACAGGGTGGAAAGTAATTACGCGAACATGTATTTTCTTACAATTTTGACCGTCAGTGGAGCATTTTTATGAGTACGGGCTGTCATGGAACATAATTGGTCGTGTTTGTTGTCGCCTCATCTACCAAAAGTGACCTAACTTTGAACAATGACCTGGAAGGTCTTAAACAACCTCTCGACTTAAAATGGTGCAGACACCATACGCTGCACAAGACCGAAATGGGCAAAGAGCTCAATTTGGAGCTGCCAGGGAAAGCGTTTGTGATTATTTTCGCTGGACTGGCGGAGAAGGGATTCGTAGCGGTCTCAGCACCAGCATTGCACAATTATACGTTTTTTTTAACATAGTAACACTTGAGAGGACTTAAAAAGCAAAGCCGTCCGCGGCAGCAACCCCTCGGCGAATTCTGTCGCCGGATGGGTGGTCACCATGTCGGCGACAAAACGACGCCAGACGACCCGAAAACTGGCAAAATAGCTTACTCTGGCCGGGTACCCGATCTAGGATATCACGATTCGCACATTAATACGCAAAAATTCGAAAATTAAGTCGTACAAACCCTCGGGATGACCAAAATTCACAAATTAACAGCAGAATTGTTAATTGAAGCTTTTCAAAGACAATCAAAGATGGACAGAGGAGGACAGGCAGCTGGATTTGTGGTTGGGTGAGACATCTGTGAAACTGTTTCATCCGTCAAACCTGCAGAACAACTGCTCTGAGGGCTGCTGTTGCGTCCTATGTCCCGTCCGTTCCAACCTTCAAACATCCGGCAAAGGAACACATCAGTGGGTCACGAGCCCCCGGGTGGTGTCAGAATTGCGTGTAGCGCTAAAAAAGGTCACTAAAAATAAAGTATACAACCGGTGGAACATCCTCCAAGACGAGTGTCTCTGTCTAATCCACCGTGCAACGAAAGGGGCAAAATGATTGAGCGCACTTTTGTGCCCGACGCAAAGAAACTGCTCTTCGTGATTGGTGAAATCCTTACTTTCATGGCCAACAAAACGCAATACTGGTGCTGTGAGAACCTGTTTTTCTTCAGGACATACAAAAGCTGATCTGGGAAACGCCTGGGCCTCAATTCGACTAAAAATCTCCAGATGACTCCTCAGGAGACCGTCTAAAAGCTGCAAGGAGCCACCAATACCGATTACCTCACTGGACAGCTCTATAAGGTGTGGGCTGAGCTTTGGCCAACAGATCTTCACATGCTGATGTAAATCATGCCGGAACGCCTATGTCAATGCATCGCAACTAGATAAGGATAAAGTAAAACATATATTGTTTATGTCACCGCCGTTTTTTTTCATTACTAGAAGACGAAAAAGTATGTTCGCGTAATTACTTTCCACCCTGTAGTTGGTCGGGGAACGGACGGTGTTTGCAATTTGTCACAGACTGATCCATGGAGCTCGAAAGCAGTGCAGCACAACATCGTTGTGCTCGTTTCCGTGTCGTCAATCCTCATCGGCCTAACCACTGAATGAGTTCATGTCTGGTCCGGCTCATACACCTTGTATGAGCCGGACCTTGTAGTACCAAGCGGGAAACTTTGTTTGAAGTTCCATTAAACGCTACAATTATTGGGTTAGGTATTGTTACATTGCGTTGCGTGTCCGGAGTGAGGCGCACCTCTCCGCGCGCTGCTGGACGCGCCTCTGCGGGCCGCCTCCCGCCGGACGCGTTCAGCAGCGCGTAGAGAGGTGCGCCTCACTCCGACCACGCTACGCTATGTAACAATACATAACCCAACATAATGAACGTCATACCATACCGTTTGCTGCACACTGCACAGCTTATTATTTTTTGTGCGTCTTTTTCAGCACCGAGCTAAATGCCTACATGCATGTGCGATGTATATCTTGCAGCCATACGACAGCTCATATCGGGCCGAACTAGGCGTTTTTGTGATCCGAAAGCACTTTTGTTTTTCTGTTCTTCATCTCGAAAGCCTCTTACGTCTCGAAAGCCTCTTACCGCTTGACGCTGCGTAGTGCGTAACCCAGGAGTATTGGGTTGAGGGGGGGGGGGGACGTAAAAGCGGTCGTTTTCTCCTCGAAGTGTTACCATGGATGCCATCGTGTTACGATTGGTCCACTCCACTGCTTTGGTACGGAGGTACTTTGACTGTGAATGCTTACATTATTTCCTTGTTTCGTAATAATTCTTTAGTGAACTCCCGACTGCTTTGACGTGATGCAGAATGACCCCGAAAACTATAAGCATTTCTGTGGAGTGATAATGACACGATGATGAAATAGACGCGGTAAAGGACAAATGTGTAGTTAACTTTTGACGTAAACATAATTCTAAATTGTATTTCTTTTTAGGAAATGAGCGAAAATGGACCAAAATTAGATATTTCTCCCTCCGAATAGGAAACACCGTTGCTATTTTCAGTTTTGCTAAAAAGGCAAAAGTACGTTTTAGAATTTGCCTCGAGCCCGCCTGCACGCGACCAATAAACTAAAGAAAAATATGTCCACGATGTTCCCTGCAAATTAGTCGTCGTCGTGTTGGAATTGCTAAAATTTTAAGTTAATTCTCAGTGAAATTGTTGATAAATTTTGTGTTATAATTATTTGTAGATTAAATTTTTGTTTTCATTTTTGTCGACTATTAGGTAGGTAGGTTTTAACCTCTAATAGAAAGCAATGCCGCCGCAAAATGGAGATTGCAAATACCAGCCGGTCTGTCTGCCCGAGTGAGTACCATTTACCTTTTATTTTGTTAGGGCAAAGAGTTACCGTTGCCCCTCTTTTTTGGATTATAAACAAAGTTTAGATTATTCTGTTAAATGAAGGCCTTACATCCAAATGAGTGAACTTCTATGCTACTTCTCAAGTTAAAAATGACGTCCAAAATCAAACTCAGCCCATAAGTTTTTGGTTTCTTCAGACACTTTCTCTTTTTCATATTTTATGATGATGATCTGACTTCAAATGTGTTTTCGGTATGGATTCCTTTTTCAGATATTCACTCAACGTGATGAAATGTATTTGCAGATGAATAAAGAAGTAATTGGTTATTAAGTATCATGACAATTTTTAAGCTAATAATACTACAGCAGATAAAAGCCGCAACCTTTGACAACAGTTATCACTTGTTTTCAAATGTGCTCAATGTGCATGATCGGTTGTTGTTTTTCAGGGACGGACACCAACAGCAGGTAATCAACTTAGGGTTTCAGGGAGCACCTAAGCAGGTATGGTGGTTCTTTGTGCCATCCCGATGGTTCACGTCGGTCACCTTCTGACAGGGGATGCTTTACGACAATCTATCTCGATGTGTGGGTCACATAACGATTAAACACCATTATACCTAAAAAAATGCATGACAGTCGGTCTAGAAAAAATATTTGTATTCGAACTAAAAGGTGTCATTGAAATGGATTGAGATGCCCATTCCAATATTTGAAGCGATGTACATCCAAAATGCCTAGGCTATTTATGGCATATTTATGCAAATAAATATTCGTGCACTCATGACGTAACTCGTTAAAATAATGTTAAACGTGGTGACGCTTACCCTTAATTCCAGATGCCACCGGGTCCTCCTGGATGTGCCACAGAAAGACTCCTGCTGCCAAACAACCACTTCGTGTGTGACCAGAATAAGGTGGCGAAACAGCAGCAGCTTATGAACCAGTACAGTGGCGGCCACTCGTGCAATCCCCAGCGTCCCGGCTACAACCCCGAGTGTGCCGTGCCGCTGTGGAGCCGCAACAAACAGGGCTTTAAGGGCGCCGTGCCTTACACCGGACCGTACGACAAGGAAGCTCCCTACCACTACGCCGAGTCACCCTACTACATGGATAACGACGACCCGAGAAAATTCTTCATGTCTGGCTACACCGGCTTCGTTCCGCATACCCAGTCCGTTATCGGCAATGTGTTTCCACTGACCTGCAACAAGGGCCTGCGCAAGTTCACCGATCTACAGTGTAACGTGAAGCAAAACTTCTGCAAGCCGGTGATCGTGAGCACAAAGAAGCGCGACTTTGATCCGCCCGTGGAGCAGCTGCAGCAGTGTAGTAAGGAGCCACTGCGCACCATCAACATTGCCGACGTGGGCATCGAATACGATCCGACCATCCTGCGCGACTGCGCCTCCGGCTCGGGCCGCTCGAGCACGGGCGCAGTGGCCGGCAGCTTCTACAGCCCAGAGGCAGACTTCAGCGGCGCCGGCGCGGGTCCAGACTTAGCTGGGGCGCCTCAGGCGGGCGGCTCGGGAGCAGAGGGACCCCGGCGCAAAATGAAGATGTTCCGGAGAAAGGATCCACACCCCATATACCGAGTTGAAGAGGGCCTTCTGCCCACCTACGGTGGACATGTGCCCAATCAGCAGTTCCGTTTCGGAGGCACATTCGGTCGTGAAACTTTGAACGCGCGCAACATGAACAAACGTAAATGACAATTTGCTGAATCTGGCGCCAAAATGAACAGCGTGTTTGGGCTATCTCACTGAACGTCATCAATGTATTCACCACTTTACTCCAACATCATTTGTCAATCATATGAAATACACAATCTAGATGTGTGTTATGCATTTGTTGTGCCCCTCCCCCTCGGTTTTTGGCAAATACCTCGCGAAAAAAGCGGCCGACGACGACGAAACTTTCAGTACTGCAGAGCTTATCACTTTTACACCTGCCCTAAAAATTTCATGAGCCTGACATAAATGACCTTTGAACTGTGACCTGTTCCTCCAAGTCCAGACCATGTCAGGCAACATGTTACGGAACTGTCAGAAGTGGTCGACACCTATGAATAGCCGGCGGGATGCCTACTGATTGACCTAACCTGACATTACCCGACCCTCCCCAAATGCATGAATGCAT